TGTTAGTCCCCTTGAAACAACTTTTCCATCACTATTGTGGCCAGAAAGAGTCCCTGTGTGTTTTTAAATTCGCCTGCCCATTGAAGTCAATGGCGGTTTGCCCGGTTCGCCGGTTCACGAACATTTGCGGAAGTTCGCGTTCGCCGTTCGCGAACCAAAAATTTCGTGTTCGCGACATCACTACTCACCTTAATAAGAGCCTGGAACCTGGAACCCAGATATTGATGTCACTATCCAAAGGAGCTTTGCCAGAAAAGAAACGTGATTTAGGTAACTAGAAATTAATAAGTAAAAATAATCTCCTGTATAATAAAATCCAAACTTAAAATGCTAAAACGTGTTTCGCCACCTTGGATTCATCAGTCAACAATATAGAATACAAATACATACTGTTACCGGGAAACTGACGGAGGCCAAGCACAGAGAGATGGACACAGGTTTCTTCAGGAAGGAAGAGATCTTTATTTGATTCACCGACCGGGACTCAGAGGGACTTATGTCACCAAAAACAGCAAAGATCTGAGCACTGAATACATAGAGTAGATTCCTTATATAGCACTGTAGCTCCTCCCATAATTAGCTACGCCCACACATACCCTTAACCTAATCAATGAATTGAGTCTAAACTCATCCATCCGGTCTAACCATGTGGCTCATCTGAAACAAAGGAGAGGGACGCGTAATTCCAGTTCCTGCATTCCTGCACATGCTCAGTACAGTGATGACAGTATCTTAGCTACGTGTAACTAACTAACTGATACTACAAACACATGTACCTACATGTGCCTTGTGGCAATCTTGGCCTGCTAAACTTTTATTTTACTGGAATTCCATCACATTCCCCCCTTTGATGCTTCTGATTTAAAATAATTCCAGATGCATCACCAATCTTAGTTTGCTTACACCTCAAGTTGCCATAAACCAGACTAGACTTTGCGATCCTCTAAAGATACGAACCCCTCAACATTCCTCTTCCTGCATGTATTCTCCTTGATCTAGAGCTTCATACCTGCAAACAGCCATTACCTGTGCTGCGGCCTTTCTTTCTGCTATACTTTCTATAATGCTCTGCATAGACCTAATTACCAAAGGAATCAGACATGGCAGAAGGAGACACAACATCAAAAATCAGTATGACTCCACCTACCAATGCCTTGATTCCTCCAAACTGCTCATACCAACTACCAAACCAACTACTCGGATTATACCCTTTCCATACCTGAGTAGGTACATGTGCTAGCTTAACCATATGGCTAGTAAGCTCAGCTATTGCTTGCCCTTCATCATCTATTTGAAGACAACAATTGCTTAGATTAAACTTCCCACATATACCTCCCTCTACTGAAAATAGGTAATCCAAAGCTAATCTATTCTGGTAGATGGCTGTCCTCATCCTAGTGTTATGCTTCGCTAGGAGATTGAGCGCTTGTGATGTTTCATTGGTAACTATCTCAACTACTGCTTGCAATCTTATAATACGATTAAGCATATATATTGGGGTTCTGTATCCATAAGTACCATCCTCTGCCCACATAGCTGGCCCATAATAATCTATAATACGCTGGGGAGGCCACTCATCATCTTCCCAGGTACCTATCTCTAGGGGTGCCCTTTTCTTGCTATGATTTACATCATATACTTTAACTCCCAAAGTCTCTCCTGTTTCAGTTGGCAACAAGAAGAAGGATGGTTTGAGCATACCCAATACACAAGCATCTTCCCAGTCCTGTGGTAACTCCGAATATGCTTTCTTACCACAAATCCAGTACAAATTTGCTGGGGCTTTCCAACTAGATGTAGCAGATAGGTCAAACCATACATCCTTTAAATTGGTATAATTTGCAAACGGATTAGACGGTTCTGAGACATTTGAAAATAGTATCCTTTGTATCGTCATTATAGGCTTTTTGCCCTAAACAAGTCAATTCTCCTACAGATGTATTAAACATTATTCCTTTCCTTGCTATACAGACATAACCTATAATGGAGGTCTTTAATCGCCACTCAGATTTACCTCTAACACTCACTTGATAATCAGATTGAGAAGATATTAGTTGTTCAACTGTCTCAGAACCAGAATACATTACCTCCTTTGCTTCCCAAGGCCATTGGTCTCCCATATTAGTACCTATGCTCTCAGCTAGGTCTATGAATAAGTTTTTGGCATTATGGGGAACCTTATCTTCCACACTCATCTCCTCATAAAAAGAATGGAAAACCTGATGAGTCTGGGGGGCCACTGTATCTGTCTCTATTCCTATGTATAATATCGTCCCAGGATCCAAACCTGTTCCATATATTTGGAACCCAAATACATTCCCAAACTTATCTATAAATAGCTCTGGGTCCTTGATAAGTATATGGACTGGGTTACACTCCATAGACTTACAATATGGCTTGGTAGGCAATCTAGTGACAATCATATCCTTATCTACTGTCTGTCCCCAGGTTGCCCATCCCACACAGGACCAATACGGACAATAATTGTAGTCTTTATTTAGGCAGTTTGGATCTATATACTTATGCTTATTACTAGGACAAATATACTTATCATTAGACCCATACGTTCTTTCCCATTTAAGACCACTACATACATTCCATGGCTTCCTACTACCTGATATCGCCTTACATGCATCAAATAGCAAAACACCTGGAGAATGTATGCTTTCTAGTACAGTCTTATTTATCAGGTTCCCCTGTGCGTTCTCATTCCGAATAGTCAACCAAATTGTACGGGGCTGATACTCAGGATTAAAACACCTAGGTTCTCCTGCTCCTATATGGCATACACTATAATCTGTACCTAGGTATCTACACTTTGATACATGTTCTGTGCACTCATATTGCGAATGCCAAATAAGGGTCTGGGAAATACGATTGCCTGTTTTCGTAGTCTTAATGCAAACCTCGCAGCCTGGTGTGTCGGTACCTCTACCTTCCTGAATAATTAAAAACACACATATATACATCAAACACATTACTCCTGACATCTTCTTCCTAATTCTTCGACCGTGCGACGGCACCTCAGCTTCCAGGCGTGTGAGGGCTGCAGGGAATGGAGTCCTTCTGATCCTCACTGTTCTTCACAGAGGATTCCTCTGGCTTAAACGTTGGTAGGTGGTCAGGCTTTATTGTGGCCGTCAAAACACCTACTTGTAGATCTTTGTTGATGTTCCCTTGTAACAATACTCTTGGCAAAAAACACTTTTAATCTAACTGGGTCACTCGCTTCAACCGGATCTTGCAGGGATTCTCAGGATCTTGAATAGCATGCCAAGAATCTGCTGCTGGTTTAACCCTGGAGTGATGAATCCACGGAGTCACCTCTGCCACCTTTATAGCTGTTGGAGTAGACAAAAGAACAGCATAAGGACCCCTCCACTTTGGCCCCAACGGTACACTGTTCCACTCCTTTATCCAAACTTGGTCTCCAGGATGGTAAGAATGGACAGGTGGATAAATATTTACAGGTAACCTATCTTGTACCCATTTCTGTACCTCCTCCATAGTTTTACCCAACTCTACAACCTGCCGCCGGGTAATTCCTTCTTTCACATAGCTACTACCATCCGTATAATACTGTACATCCGGGTCCTGAATGGGAAAATCATGAAGGTCCGGTTGGCTTGAAAAACACCTCATCCATTATCTCCAAACAATCATGTTTACTTTCATTACGTTGTGGCAAAAGGGTAGCTGGATTCAGGGTATTAACACTTTCACATAGCATGGCTTGATATTTAGTCATTCGGCTATTGCTAAACCAATGATTACCTTTATAGTCTAGCAACGTCTGTACTGCGTGCGGGACTCGCACATAGAGTTCCTGACCCAGAGTGAGCTTGTCAGCTTCTGCTACCAACAGGGCGGTGGCAGCTACGGCCCTTAGACAAGGAGGAAGACCACTGGCTACTGCATCCAGTTGTTTGGACATATACGCAACAGGTCGCTGCCATGATCCCAGATACTGTGTCAGTACTCCCACAGCCATCCTTCTTTGCTCGTGTACATATAAGTAGAATGGACGTGTATGATCAGGTAGACCTAATGCGGGGGCGCTCATCAATGCCTTCTTAACATCTTAAAAAATGCTGTCTGCTATTCGATGGTCCACAGGAAGGAATCATGTTCCGTGCCTTTAATAGCGGCATAGAGGGGTTTCGCCAGTATCGCATAACTGGGAATCCATATCCTACAGAAGCCTGCTGCCCCCAAGGATTCTCGCACTTGTCTTCTGTTCTTAGGTGTTGGTATTTGGCATACAGCCTCTTTTCTTTCAGGCCCCATTATCCTTTGACCTTCAGAGATATGGAATCCCAGATACTTGACAGTTGGCTGATACAACTGAGCTTTCTTCCTGGACACCTTGTATCCTGCCTTCCAAAGAATGTGCAGTAAATCATAAGTTGCTTGCTGGCATATCTCTTTAGTAACTGCCGCTATCAACAAATCATCCACGTATTGTAGTAGTACACATTCTCCTGGGATGGACTTGAAATCTAATAAGTCCTGACTTAATGCTGATCCAAATAGGGTAGGTGAATTTTTAAACACTTGGGGCAATCTTGTCCAGGTCATCTGACGTTTCGAGCCCGTTACAGCATCTTCCCATTGGAATGCAAAGATACACTGGCTTTCTGTAGCAATTCGTAGGCAAAAGAAGGCATCTTTAAGGTCCAAGACTGTAAAGTAAGTAGCCCCACCCGGAATCAAGGCAAGCAGGTTATAAGGATTGGGCACAACTGGATGTATACTTACTACCGCATCATTGACTGCTCTCAAATCCTGCACAGGACGATACTCATCTGACCCAGGCTTCTGAACAGGCAACAATGGAGTATTCCAGGGGGAAGTACAGAATTTTAGGATACCATACCTTATGAACTTATCCAAATAAGACTGTATGTTCTTCTTCGCCTTTTGAGGTATATGGTATTGTCGCAGGCTTACTGGATAAACCCCAAGCTTTAGTTCGATGCGTATAGGTGGGATATTGCGAGCAAGTCCTGGTGGGTTATTTTCTGCCCACACTCCTGGTATATTATACAAGGATTCATCACTCTTAGGGTTTTGACTTGTCATCACTGTATAAAGTCGCCACTCTTCTTCCTTTGGTACTGATAGTGTCATTATACCTGAGGGTCCATTAAACTTCAAGGATGTCGTTCCGTTAGGCAGAAATGTTATCTGTGCTTGTAACTTCGAAAACAAATTCCGTCCTAGAAGTTGGACTGGACATTCAGGCATGTAAAGGAACTGATGTTGCACTACGTGGCCTCCCAGTGTACATAGTCGACTTTTGAGAACCGGTTTAGCAGCACTCCTCCCAGTTGCTCCTATTACAGTGATAGTTATTCCTGAAGGAGGAGCAACTAGGTCGGTTACCACAGAATGTTCAGCACCAGTGTCGATCATGAAAGAACTCCTTTTTCCCCCTATTGCTACATCGACCATAGGCTCCGCTCGACGCAGGGGGATGGAGCCCGGTCGGTATCAATAGTCCTCCATGACAGTGTCAGCCAAACCCACAAAGTCCCTATCTTCTCTTTCTCTAGGTCTCTAGAATAATAGATAATATCTGTCCCCTTGAACATTTCCTCTATTATTCCCACTATTTCCTCCAAAACTTCCTCTACCTTGTCCTCTATAACCACCTCACCCTCTTCTCTCTTCTTGTCTACCACCTCCCCTCTGTGGACAGTCACTTTCCAATGCCCTTCCTCTCTACAATATGCACTTTGATTCCTACTTAAAGACTCCCTATTCCACTTATTCTCCCTTTTCTCGGTTCCCCTGTACACTTCCTTTTCCCTTCTATCTACACCAGTGATAGCTACCGCTAACATATCTGCCTTCCTTCTCATCTTACGCTCTTCTTCCTTCTTCGTCTCTGTCTCCCTATTCATATAAACCTTATTTGCTATTTCCATTAGTTGAGTTATAGACATCCCTACAAACCCTTCTAGCTTTTGCAATTTTATTTTAATATCTCCGTAAGCCTGGCTGACAAAGGCAGAGTTAACCATCGGGGAATTCTCAGGAGCCTCTGGACTAAAGGGGGTATACAATCGGTATGCCTCCAATAATTGGTCATAAAAGGCACTGGGCGACTCATCACATTTCTGCAAAACCTCAGCCGTCTTTGACATATTGATCGCCTTTTTCCCTCCGGCTTTCATGCCAGTAATAATGGCTTCCCTATAAGCTTTTAGGTGAGCCATATCAGCACCATTAACATTCCAATTCGGATCTACGTTTGGGTAATGAGCTGCGGCCCATGCTACCGGGTTGGCCTGATTCTGTGCACAGGCCACTTCTTCAAGCGCTTTAATTTCCGCCTGATTAATCCGAGTCCTTTCCTCGTTATTAAACAATGTCATAAGCAATTGCTGGCAATCAGCCCAAGTGGGATTGTGCGTTTGGATTATGGAGGTAATCAAATCTGTCATGGCTTGAGGTTTGTCTGTGTAAGAGGAGTTATTGGTTTTTTTTCAGTTGAACAAATCCGTAGTGGTAAAGGGAACATAAACAAATACGGGGTCGGCATGTTGTAACTGGCCTTCACCATTAATGTGTGTCGGGCCCGGTGTCAATCGGAGAGGCATTTGATAATGTCGGGGTTGGAGGGTACCAGTCATCTGTCGGGTTAATACAGGGCTTCGGCAAGGCTGCTCAGTCTGAGAGTAGTAAGATAGGTGGAAGGGGGTGAGCTAATTTTCTAGTCAGCATTTGGTGGATGAAACATTTTTTTTTTTTTAAAGTGTTAAACCAAAAACCTACCAGTAGGTGTCACGAGAGGGTAATTGTATCAAAATAATCTTTATGGGTCTAATAATAAAACTTAACTTTTAATATATTTATACATAAAATAAAACCTTATAGCAATAAATATATTAAAATAGGATAAACAATCCTACTTCTGTCTGTTATATGCCAGTATAGCGTTAAAGATGATTATGCAATGTAATATCAATGTAACTCCCAAAGATGGCCAGTAGGTGGCCCTAAAGTGCCTCCCTAAAATCTAATGAAGCAGATAAACTTTAATTATGTGCTTATTTTATTATTACTTATTTTAATCACTGCTCACCCTGATATCTAGGCCCATCCAGTAACTAAAAAAAGGATAAAAAGCATCCTATACCATTAATCATTTCTTCCAGTTGTATTTTAGACTATCAGTATTCAATAGTTTTAGTGCTATTTCAATGTTTATGGTACAATGTCATTGCTGAGAATTATCTGATCCAATAGACTCAGTTACTGTTATTAAGAATTCTCCTCAAAATTTAACTGTAAATAAAATTCAATGCTAAAATACACTCCTACCAGGAAGTCAATTTAAATTACAAAAAAACAGTTTGTACAGAAATACAAGAGTTTGAAAGAAAAGAACAGATAGGTATGTGGGTAGGCATGGACAATAGAGCAGGGGGAGTGCAAATACCAGCTATACCAGTTTTAGGCTACTATGGCTCTGGAGGATGAATTAGGGGTTGGTAATCAGATGCAAGAGGGGGGGAGGTGTCCAAAGCAGTTGTAATTAAGGTTTTAGAGGACAAACAAGTTCGGGCTACCATGGACTCCATTGTTCCTCTTAGCACAGCTTGTTCCATTTAGCAGTGTTTCAACAATCTGTATACAGAAACTACTCGTATAGCCCCAACATATTATTTATAACACTGTAAACCTGCTGTATTAAATCTGGATCAAGGATCCACAGGAACACTGGTTACCAGAAGAGGCCGTCCTCTGCTACACAGAGTATTTTAATCTTTTGGGGGACAGTGTTACACCATAATCACAAACAGCATATTCCTTAGAAAGGGTTTTTTTTTGTTTGTTTTTTTTTTTGACACATACAAGACAAAGGACTGTTTGTGAATCAGAAGCACCCATGATTTCAACAGAGCGTCTGATTCAAAGCAGTACAAATATACAAACAGTTTCAACAGTCACACCAGTTACCCTAACAACAGCACCACGTGGCACAGTTACTAGGCCAAACACACACCAAAAACACAGGGAGAATTCTCATACACACACAGCTGTTACACCACACACTAAATAACTATTACTGTACCTTTTTTGGCGAAATTCGACAATTACCCACGCTATAATTCTCAGTATTTAAATT